TGTCCTGCTATTGCCTTGGAAAAGAAACAGCTCTCCTTTCTTGGCTCTAAGTGTTTCCTTTTACTCTCTCAAATATAAAACACCAATTTCCTCATTAATGAATTTTCCCAATTTCCCCCCCTGCAGAACAATTGTCCTGTGTCTTTTTCTTGGCTAAATTAAGACTCCAGGGCCTGCGGGTGCTGTCTATAAAGCATGGCAGAACACTGACACGGTTAGATACAAACCAGATAAAATACAGCACTAATAAAACAACAAAATGCCAAAGAAGAGCTGGCGAGTTTTCTGGTCAGGACCTGCTGAGGATGAAAGCCTTAATGAGCAGTTCAGTGGTGGGTTCCTCAAGCCCATCGTTACTGGCAGTCAGTGGAGGCATTTCATTCTTAATTAGAAATTCTAAAAAGGAGTAACAATGCCTTCCTCTTGTTCCGTAAAACCAATACTAAGTTGCCAGCATTATTACATCTGTGTATTTTTAGAAAATCTGTTGCTTACACATCATGTGATATTCATCAGGAGGAAGACTTCTGGCAACAGCAAAACCATGCGAAAAGCTACTGGATTCTTTCTTTTTTTAAAGGCTCTGGCTGGCTGGAAGGAACAGCAACGTGAGGAGCCTACGAGCAACTTGGTGTAGTGGAGGGGGGCCCTGCCCATGGCAGGGGGGGTGGAACTGGATGATCTTTGAGGTCCCTTCCAACCCAAACCATTCTGTGATTCTATGATTTAAATAGCCTTGTTCTTGAGACTGGCTAATCGCTGGGAGGACCACAAACAACGTACCTGGTTGTGTCCCAGGAACTGTTCCCCCACCCCCCCCCCACTTTTCTATACAGAAACAAGCTCCCTGATAAAACTGAGATGCTAAAACCCTGACTTGGAACAGCCTTTGCTCTGGGAGCAGACAAGAACTCTGTTAAGAAAACTTGATAAGCGTAACATTTACTTCTTAGGCCTCTTTCTTTCAAGAGTGCTCCATTGCTGCTGTTCTGCCAACAGGCTCCTCTTGCACTGTCTGAACAATCTCCCCATTATTTAATACATTACTTAGCAGAGGAGAATTTGGGCAGGGAGTCAGATCAACTAGCAGTTTACATCCAGGCAAACAGCAGCTTTCTCAAGGAACACTTACATTCCATAAGCCACAACAGGTCTGTCTCATAAGCCCTATTTAAGTGATGTCAAACGGCACAAAACACCTACGGACTGAGTTTTCACAACAAGCAAATCGGGTTTGATGAACGTTGCAATCTTTGTTCAGCACCTGAAGCTCTGAATTAAATGCACACACGGTTCAAGAGACCCTGCATGCCATTCAGCAGAGTCCTCTACTCCAGTGTCTCACACACTGTTTACAGAACTATCATCAGATATGCAGGAACTACAATACATTAATTTTCCCACGTATTTTCCTGCTTAATCTGCTAAGCAGGATTTTTAGGGAACAAAGCCCCAGCTGTTTGACACCTTTCTCCTCATTTTTTTCTGTTCCACTAAGTTTAGCACCAGTGAAAGGTGCTAAAAACTGCAGCGATGGGAAGATTCAGAAACAGATGCTCTTTGCAATTGTGGTGGCTCTTAAAAGCATCAGATCTGACTTTCCTCATTACATCTACCAGAAGCTGAATGTTCAGCCCTAATCCGGCTTGGGCCAGGCTAATGGCATTTTCCTGTCTTCTGTCCCCTCCTGGCATGCTCAAATCCTACACATCATGTGTCAGCAGAATTGAACTAAACCAGTAAGGATTCCTTTAGCACATCTGCCTGGTACAATAAATATCCACACTAGTCATTTAACATGACAAATAGATTGCAATCACACATACAACTCATAGGGACACTAGCCCATAAAGACTTCAGAAAGCCATACTCAAGCCTGACCAGCTCACGAATGTCCTGGTTCCCTTTCATGCCTAGGATCAAGGTGAACTACCCACGGGAAGAATGAATACCTATAAATAATAATTAGCACTATTCATCTTCAAAGCTTTTTACAAATATTAACTACTCATTACTCTTAACTGCCCTGGGAAGCGCTGCAGGGAAGTCTTTTATGAAAGAAGAGAGACACAGAAAGAGACCTAATCTTCAGGACCAGCCAGAGCACCAGGCCCACTAACTAACTAGGTGCTACTCTGACTTTGAGCACGTTCACTACTCATGCTCCCTGGCCCAACACCAACAATTACCCCGTGGTTAGCAGGACAAATATTAGCAGGTTACTGTCTTCTTTTAAAGTCTGTTTCAACGCACGTTTCTACCCTCTGGTAAGCATAAATTGGCTGGTACCGCAGAACTGATCACGAGCATTAAATGAGCACCCTGACTTCTTAGCTCACTCCTCAGTAACTTGTTTGTATGCTCAGATCCAGAAGGACCAGGCAGGGACCAGTCTGGAGAGGAGCTGAAGACTCATGGCTTATGGATGGCTGGATTTTGGGAGCTGGGAACTCATGAATATCAAAAGCCCAGTGTCACGTTCAGCACTAAGGATCAGGGAAA